TAACCTTGGCCAGAATTGTGGCAAGGCACAGCTCTGTCTCTGAGCTCTTCAAGCAGTTTCTTTGACCTCATGATTCTCATTTGCACTGTGAGCTGTAAGGTCTTATATAGACAGGTGTGTGGCTTTCCTAATCAAGTCCAATCAGTATAATCAAACACAGCTGGACTCAAATGAAGGTGTAGAACCATCTCAAGGATGATCAGAAGAAATGGACAGCACCTGAGTTAAATATATGAGTGTCACAGCAAAGGTTCTGAATACTTAGGACCATGTGATATTTCAGTTTTTCTTTTTTAATAAATCTGCAAAAATGTCAACAATTCTGTGTTTTTCTGTCAATATGGGGTGCTGTGTGTACATTAATGAGGAAAAAAAATTAACTTAAATGATTTTAGCAAATGGCTGCAATATAACAAAGAGTGAAAAATTTAAGGGGGTCTGAATACTTTCCGTACCCACTGTATATAGAGAGAGAGAGAGACCTCAATGTATAATCAGAATTTCATAACTGGATATTCTGGTGAAAAAGATAAACGTATGCAGGACTCTAATCCTTTAGATCGCTTAAACTGCAAGATTGCCTTCATCTGTCTCCACTTCTGAATGCAATGCCCACATCTTAACAGCCAATCCACAACCGATGCATAGAACCAAGTCCCGCCCAACATCTTTTCTTTTTCGATAATGTCACACTCTGATTTATGTCTCAATACGGAAAAAAAGATCACTACTTCCGTTTCATCACAACTTTAATATATCAGCTAAACAAATTTGTTAGTTTGTCATAAGCTGATAAAATAAAACAAAATTGCTTTGTTTAATTGTGACCATGAATAAGTCTCTCAGGTTCATCTATCAACTCCATATTTCTATGTAGCAAGACTATTAGACTTCATTTTTAGTTTCTTATGAAGCCTGTAATTATTGTTGTTTTTTTCGCTGCGTCCAGTTTGTCTTCACAATGAAAGCAATGTAAGTGGTTAAAGTTCATAAATTAAATCAGCGAAAGCTTTATATGACGTTCCCTTTAAGCTCAAATGACAAAAGAAAAATGATATTTAAGGATTATAATTACAGACAGCAAATGACATTTGTTTGGTTTGTAAATAGTTTTTATTTAATATGGTTATCAATTGTTTTTATACATTTATTTATTTTACAGCATCTTGTTTATCTTTGTGCCCTGTGCTCACTAAAACAAATGCATGCAATACATTTTTTAATCTTTAAAATTTGTATCAATACTAAGTAGGGATGCACCGAAATTAAAATTCTGGGCCGAAAAATGAAACCGAAAATGCTTTGTAATAATAATTTTATATTATTTAATAAAATAATAAGTAATTTTGTAAGACTTTTTAATTTTAATGATACTGAATTTAAAAAAAAAAAACACAAGCCAATAAAATAACCACACTTTTATTGAAAGTAAAAATAAAATTGAACAGAAAATATATTAATATTAAATATCAATATTTATAATAAAATACTAAATTAAAAAAAAAAAAACACAAGCCAATAAAATAACCACACTTTTATTGAAAGTAAAAATAAAATTGAACAGAAAATATATTAATATTAAATATCAATATTTATAATAATAATTAATTAATAAAATTACTATATTATTTAGTGGGTGGTGCGCCGCGCCCAAATGCCATTTTCGGCGGCCGAAATTTTGGTGCATCCCTAATACTAAGCCTGTTTCTTCAAATTAGCATCTTCGGAGGCAGTGACTGTCAGATAGTAGCAACACATTAAAACAAATAACTCAAGAACAAAAGATTTAGTTGAGTCCAGATATAAAAGTAAAAAACTACACTAACAAACATGCATTTGATGTGAAACAAAAGCTTTCCGTCTTATTCATAATTCAGAATAAAAGCACAAATAGGCTTTTATGGTATGTGTGATTATTTAGGGGAAATTATCCCTTGTTATAAAAAAAATTAATAAAACTCATTTTAGGGTGAACTACTTCTTTAATCTAGTCAAATGCGTCTATATACTGTCTATATGAGTCTATATACTGTCCATGGTCTATATATCCAATTCAAATTTATTTGTATAGCACTTTTCACAATACACATTGGTTCAAAGCAGCTTTATATATTATATATTCATATAGACATCTATATGACATATAGATGTCTATATGACATCTTAATGCATCTATATGGACAGTATATAGGCATGAGTCTATATACTGTCCAATATAGACATCTATGTGTCTATGAGTCTATATACTGTCCATGGTCTATATATGGACAGTATATAGACTCATGCCTATATACTGTCCATATAGACGCATTAAGATGTCATATAGACATCTATATGTGTCTGTGAGTCTATATACTGTCCATGGTCTATATATGGACAGTATATAGACTCATGCCTATATACTGTCCATATAGACGCATTAAGATGTCATATAGACGTCTATATGCGTCTATATGAATCTATATACTGTCCATGGTCTATATATGGACAGTATTTAGACTCATGCCGATATACTGTCCATCTGTGTCCATCTGCACACTCACCTTGGGTTTGGCCAGCTCCTTGATCTTCTTTATCTCTTCATCAGAGAGGGCCTCCAGAAAGCGAACGATATGAGGACTGTCCCACTCATCCTCCTCCTTCATTGGCTTGAGCAGCAGACGTGGGTTCCTGTTGCCATCCTGATAACGGCACAACAGTCTGCTACGTCTCTTTGAAGTCTGTTGGGAAATTAAGAGGGAAAAAAAACTTTATAGCTTTTTATAACAACCTACTGCTAATTTTATGATTTTTTTATTTACATTTATGTATTCAAGTTTAAACTGAGATTTAGATAAAGACTAGATGAATAGTATTATATGTGGCAAGACACTGAACAGAAATAAACATTAAAATACACAATGATTCGAAACTACAGCCACAAGACTTGTGTGTAGGGATGCTCCGATCGATCGGCCGGAGATCGGTATCGGCCGATAATCATATTTTATGACTCGATCGGCACTCACCAACTTGGCCGATCTCAGGAACCGATCGCAATTTGATGACGTCAACGCGTTACGACGTACATGATGTGTGGGGACATAAATGATTTGGCGCCGCAGTCATGTCATTGCCGGTGTGGAAATGCTATGACGTTTCGAGAAACAATGAAAAATTTGCTGTTTGTCGTGTATGTTTTGCATGATTCATCTACACAGCAGATTCAGTGACGTTAGAGCTGATCTGCGCCTCACTGCACGCGTCTGCAGCGCGTTACGGCTCCACGGCCACCGGAGCTGATCGCGGCCGCTCTAGTCAGTGCTTGTGTTTATCAGCCAGCCGCGGCACGTTTTTGAAGCGCCTCTCCGCACTGCTTGGTTAAAAATAGTCTTTTGTGAGTTGTCACAGCATGGAGGACGGAACAAAAACAAAGGTTTCCCCAGTAACAGCTGTACACAAAGCAGCGCTGAGCTCACAAATGCTGCTTTATCAGGCATATAACATGCAAGATGAAATGAAAATGACATAGAACATTTTCTAAAGATAGTCTTCCTTCAGAAATACAGTGATATAAAAACACCCGCGCCTCGTTTTGATTTTTAAATGT